AATTTCATTGATCAGTTTTGGACCACATGAATCCCAGTCAAGATCTTATAGATCTGTATCCAAAATCTTATTGTAGATCTTGGTCCAAGATAATCACATTATCTTGGATCTAAATTTTCAAGATCTGTTCACATTTCTGTACCTTATATCTTTGTCAAGATCTTGCTTGCAAGTTGTTGGACTAGGGTACCTTATATTTTATTCAATATCAAAAATTTTTGACGGTGATGATGTTGTTCTTATATCAATTGATGTTTGATGATCTTTATAAATTCGAACATGAATGTGCTTCTCAAATATTTGAGTTTTATTGTTATTGTAATAGAAATCGGCTTAATCCTTTACTGCTATGATTATTAAATTATTTGATAAATTTTCTGGTTGATATTTCTCTCTTTTTGATTGTAATTGAATAGTTTACTGATAAAATAAAATTGTTTTTGTTTATATGTCACATTTCTGAACAGATAAACTAAAATTCATCAATAACACCATTATAATCATATCATTTTAAAATAAATCTCCAATACTATTAATTAAGCGTGTTGTTGTGAATTATTATTTGTTGTTATTCTCGAATTAATTAGTCACATAATGTTAATATTTTGTCGCATCATTTTATATACTGTTCTCTTGAAAAATAATTAATCTTCGTGTCTTTTGTTGCTCGTTTGCAAGTTTAAAACCAAATAATGCCTCACCGTAGTTTCTTTTAATGATAATTTGATGACTGGTATGAATATTGTCTTCCCTAAGTTGAGCTCGAATTTTTCAATAGTCATATTTGTAATAAATTAGTCGTTTAATTCGATGTTGAAAATCTAGTCGTTTTTTCTGCTTCCATTTTAATTCTAAATTTTTTCCACCGTTGTTTTTCTGATTTAGATAATTTTATTGTTGGTTCTATTTGTGGTTTTTGTTTCCATTGTTAAAGTGTTTTGTTTATCAAATTTTGGTAATAATAAGTAATACTCTTCATCTTTACTATAACAATTGTTAATTTATCAGGATATGACAATATGATCGGATAACGGTAGTACAATCATTTACTGTATATTCTTTCATTTGTATCAGTTTTTATTATTCTTTTTCCTTACCATATTGATGTCGACTAAATAGTTTATTTTTTCATGTATCAAGCTCCAAGTCAAGGACAAATTGCCGTATATTAATTGTTTCTGATTTATCCAAAACCTGTCTTAATAGTGCCGCAACTGCATGTTATAGAGACCTTTTAGCATTTAATCATAATGAGTGTGATGACTATAATTACAATAAATTTTGTTTATTTTTTCTAATTCATTATCATCATTGTGTTCGCCAGGGATATTCATGAATATCAAACATTGTTCGCCTGGTTATTTCATTACACCTGCCCATTTCTCGACGCATATTCCCTTGATTATTCCATCCTCTAAATAAAAGCTGTAGATTAATTTCCTTTTTGCAGTACCAAAATCTATTAGTTGAAGATAATTAAAGTTTTCTAATTCTTTATGATTTAGTCTACGCGAGTTTATTTCATTATTATTATCGAAGATCGGTGAGTAAAGTTCCTTCATTTATCCAAACAAAAGTGATTGTGGATCAGATAGATAATAAGTTGCAGTTCATATAATCGTTGAATGATTAATTGAACGTACAGATTCAATTTATATATGAGTGCTCATTAGTCTTTGCATAGGCTTATCTGATTCTTCATCAATTATATTTCGTTTGATTTCTCTTGCCTTAATAATTACTTCATTAACAGCTACGACCGCCACCCGACATTGAAGATGAATAGTTGTAGTGTTCGATAATGAATGAGATATTAGAATTTTCGTTTTTAATAATTTGTTTGTTTTCGATTTCGTTGAGTCATACAACGCCAGTGTCGTTGCTGTTTAATATTTCGTTTATAATAATATACTGATAAACTAGATAAATTTCGTTCTGCACTAGATACAATAATAGACTACTAAATCACGAACTGTGCAGGCCATTACTAGTTAGATGTGGTAAAATGAATTTTTCATCTCGCGTAAAACGTGCTTTTGTCTTTTTGTATAGATCATGACTCGATCAATATCCATATATGAAACATTTCTTTCCATCGATATAATAGATGTCTATATATATTATGTTCTTGTTTTATGATCATAGTAAAGTTGTTGACCTGGATCACATCAGTCACTTTCTGAAGTATAGAGTCACCATACAACCGTTACAGTGTATCAATTATTGTACACTGTGATTGTAGTATGTACAATTGCAATAAAGTAATAGTAGTATTCGAGTTTAATAGTTCTTCCTTGTCAGTAAGGAGATGAACTCGATCTCCCTTAGATGGACTGTTGTGTCAGACTCAAATTTTGTTTTTTTTTTACTTAGTTGTCAATGACCATTCTCTCCAAGTCACTTAATCATACCATCTAATTCCACTTTTTCTCTATTCAGGATATGTTCCTTAGGTTAGGTTCTGTCTTTCTACAAATGGAATAATAGCATTCATTGTCACTTGTCTTGTTAATGTCAAATTTTTCCACATATTGAAAAATGTATAGTTTACTCTCAAATTGTTTAATGATTTTAAACGAATCTTCGTATCTAATATCAAATTTCGTTCAGCTATTCTTCGTTTTCATTAAAGCTGAGTGATCGAATTTTTGATGATAAACTTTTTTTTGTGTCAATCATATCGAGTCTATGGCTATTTGCTTTTCAGGATGTTTTTCCCGTGTTTTGTCTAATAATGTTTCAATATATGCTCTAATTTTCTGGCTTTACTCTGAATCTTAGTGAGCGAGATGAATCCATGTTGTTGATCGAATTCGAGAATAGCGCCTCGTCTGTTAGTCATTTCGAATAATGTATTATGAAATACATTATAACTGAATATGAACAATTCCAAGATTTCTTTTTAGTTTGTACGTCGTTCATTACATACAACTACTATTTTTCATTTCTTTTTAGGATTAAACCATTCAATTCATCCGTTTATTTGCGAATGGCATACAGTAGAATATAAATCAATGATCCTGGAGCGTTGACATGAATTGTTCATAATTTGAGTAGTGAAATGAGTGTCATTATCAGTTAAAATACAAGTTATAAATCTATATTTTAAAAAACATCATTGATAAGGAAGTACGCCGCTGTTGATGCAGAACAATCCTGGACCACTTTTGTTTTTGCAAATGCGGTTAATACATCTATCAGAGATATAATGTATTTGTCTTCTTGTTTTCATGTTGGAATTATTGAATTGTGAAAGTCCATACTTACTAGTTCCCAAATCCCTTTCTATAGTGGTATTTGTTCCCATGTTCCTGATAATTGCTCACGATGAGGATTGTTTTGTGAACATAGTAAATATGAATTCAAGTAATTTCCAATGTCAACAATCATTATTGACCAATTATAACGTTATTGAATATTTCTTGTGATTTTATCATGGCTGAAGTGAGCTACATTTTCAGGTGGATGGTGATAAATTTTTAGTATAGCAGCAAGTATTCATCCTACTACCATAAATGGCACTGAGTGGAGTGTTGATTGTTGTCTTTGCATTAATATTCCATATTAATAATAAAATGTGTGTCATTTTATGACTGAAAAGGAGGATTTAAGCTTACATTTATATGATTGGATCTTCTTGAAGACACATTCTCGGATATCACACTACCTATCTCATAGAAAACTCGACATGTTTCATAGATCGAACTGATAGTAAACAGTTTTCTGATTCCAAAATGACCTTTAGAAGGTTTATGGACTGCTTCGATGATGATATTTTGCATTAAATTCATTAATACAATAAAGTTCATTGATTTTTATTATAAAAGTGCAGCTTTAGTTGATACAGTTCTGTAATAAGAAAGAGGTTTTGATAATTGAAATTACTTTTATGCTATTCTTTTTCAACTATGGTTCTTTCGATAGATAAACATACTATAAATGGAATGAGATCTCAAAATAACGACTGAAAACTTTTGATTATAGATTTTCTTTTGGGAAAGAGAATCTTTCTGTAAGAAAACTTTGGAGGATGATTGTATTTTATTCTTATAATGATATTCGAAATTAGTCGTTATCGAAGTTGTTTTATCTTCTTAGTTTTGATATTATAAAGAGGTTAATGCAAATTGTATCACCAGAACATTTTGCAAAAACATGGAAAGTAAAAATAATAGTTATCTGAATTTTTCTTTTACATCTTTTAAATAATACTATTCACCTTGCTAAGGCCGTACAGATATAATCCATGAAAAATTTCTTTTAAATCAAGCGTAAAGAATTCAACCAACTGATTGATAAACCTTGAAGAAAAGCAGTAGATTGTAGCGTTGATTTGTTAATTTGAGATCTCAATTATGATTTCTTCAGGTAATATTGTTGGTAGGATGGAATAGAAAATAAATATACAAAAAAGTCGAAGAACAAAGCTATCATGTTCTTTTTGAATAGTTATGTCTTTTTGCCATGTATTTCTCTGAATATTCACTATGAGTAGAGTCCATCGGGCTGGTCAGTGCTGAAAAACTTTGAATCCAATGAACTCTAACTACGAGATAAAAAAGTATAGCTTTCGACATACGGTGATGTTCGTCGTTTAATATTTAAACAAATATAGAAAACCAACTGAAATTTGCTGTAACTATTGAATTAGAAGATGTCTATTAAGAATTCAAATGTGAAAAATTAATGTGTACCTTGAGAAGGACTGCAAATCATTACGATAATATTGAATCATCTTTAATTACTGGCGGTTACTTATCTTTTTTTTGTTTTCACTGGGTTAAGTATGAATAAAAATTATTTATTAATGTGTATTTGATTGTGAAAATAAATTAAAAGAACATATAATAAATTCTTTATCTCTTCTTCTGAATCTAGAGTATGATGTTGTTCACACATGGACATAAAAGGCTCTTGAGTTTTCACTTTTATTCTTTTGACAAAAAAACCATACGTTTACAGTGAAAAACTTATTAAATAAACAAAAAAATTTCAACACACTAAGCACGGGTATTTTGATAAATCTTTTGAAAAAGTTCTTTATATTTCTTTTCTACAGCATATCGACGTGCTTTCAATGTTGGTGTTAAAAGTCCATTTTCAATTGTAAATGATTCTTTGATGAATTCAATGGCTTTCACTTGTTCATATGACATTAAACCACGTTTTTTACCTTCACGAATCATATCATCAAGTACAGTTTGTTTCAATTTAGCATTTAATTCAGATGACATTGGTGTTTCAACATTATATCCTTCATTTTTTGCCCATTGTTTTACATAATCATCATTCAATAAGACAATAGCAACAAGAAAACTTTCAAATGAATCACCATAAACAAATATTTGAGAAATAAATCGACTGCGTGCATAAACATCTTCAATTTTTTCTGGTGCTACATATTCACCTTGACTTAACTATAAAATAAACGAAAATACATTTAAAATTTTCAAAATTTCGAACATCATAAAATACAGATCGTAGAATGGTAGCATAGGAATTTTACAATATTTTATAGCTAAATTCGAAATGTCTTGCATATGTACGAATTGATATGGAATAGATTTGACAAAATCAAATTAAAGATATTTATCTAATTCAAATCATCGTTCATGTATTCTACTCTATCTAGATTCCACATAGATACTTGAATATAAAATGTAATTGAATTCTGAGTTGTTTCTCTATGTTATGAACTTTTTTGTCCGCATTTTACATTAAAAAAGAAAAGAAACGAAATTTTATTGTCTCAGATTTCACTTATAAAGTAAGTTCTCATCATGATTGATTCTCTCAGGTGTTTGAGCAATATCCTTCGTACTTATATTTTTCAGTCTAATCTATTTTTTCAATGACACAAACCTTATACATATTTTTCTTTCGATCAACTATTTTCATTGTTTTATGTGGTGTCCATCGACCAATATCACCTGTATGTAACCATCCTTCTTCATCAATTGCTTCACGTGTTTTAGCTTCATCTTTCAAATAACCTCTAAATACAGCTTCACTTCGAAGACATATTTCTCCAATACCATCTTTAGCATAATAACCCTTCTCAGGTACATCAACTAATTTAAGAAGATTGAGTGGTGTTGGAATACCTGTTGCACCTGCTTCAATATCGTTTACTGATTGTGCACAACCTACGACACATTCTGTTTGACCATAGGCTTCAACAAAAAAACATGAAAATGCAGCACGTGAAAATCGACAAACTTCAGGTGAAAGTGGTGCACTTGATGAAATAACACGATTAACTTGACCACCAAATGATTGACGAATTTTTTCAAAAATAATTTTATCCCATAGGGTATTTTGTGCAAAATTTCCACGTCGAATAAGTGCTAATTTACTTTGAATAGCTACTCGAAATAAAATGCGGCCCAGTATACCTTTTTTACGCAACTCTGATCGAGCTTTATCATATAATCTATTAAGTAAACGAGGTACCATCGTAAGAAGTGTTGGTCGAAAATCATGAAAATCATCAAGCAATTTGTCAATTTTGCCTTGCCAAAAACCAATTTCTCCGCCTAGAAAATTCAGAAGAAATATCATTTAACAACACTTAAATGACAACTATACCTAAATAAGTTACAGAAATGGTCGTTCCACAACCAAACAAATGAGCTAAAGGCATATAATTTAATACACGTGGAAATTCCTGTGTGTGTAATAGATCAATAGCAGCTGCAACACCAAACATTGAACACAGAAAACTTTCATGTGTAATAATACAACCTATATTCATGAATATTTATTTCAAAAATAATACGAAAATTAATCAGTTTTTCTACCTTTTGGTTCTCCGGTACTTCCACTTGTATACATAATCATTGCTTTGTCACTTGGTTTTGGTGGTACTAATTCAACTGGTTTATTTCGACCAATTTCTCTTAATTTGTCAAGTGTAAGAAGATTTAATTGTTTTTCTTCAGCTGATTTCATTAATTCTTCTGTTGGTTCAAAAAAACAAACAATTGTTTTCAATGCTAATGTTTCATCTTTCCATTCAATTAAATTTTTTACACGTGGTAAATCATCAGCAAAAATTAATTCAACAGCACTTTGACGTATGATAAATCTGACACCATCTCGACCAAGTGAATCATAGATACCTATTGGTACCATTGAATATGGCCAAGCCGAATAAAGACATAATGCATAATTGACTGATGCTGAAGCATAAATGCCAAAAAGTGTTTCAGATGATGGTTGAAGACCACTATTCACTAAACCACTACCAATTTCTTTGATGATTTCAAATACTTGTCTGAAAAACAAAGATTACATTTAATTATTCCAATCTGTATCATCTTACTTACTTATAAGTATAGGATTTAAATGGTTGATCAGATGAATGTCGAAATGAAAACTGCGGTCGATCAGGACCAAGTTGCATACCGTGTAAGAGAACTTCATAGATTGTTTTTACGTCCAATGTATTTGTATCTAGTAATCGATCGGTATACTTGGGATGTGCATATATATGTTCTTTGGGATCTATTTCAACTGCGCCTGTTGGGGGTATTGGCCTTTTGAAAATTATTTGAAACAATGAGAAAAAGTGCTCCATCAAAGCACTTATAACTATAACCAATCCAGTGATTATAGCAACAGACATTATTGACTCCATAGGCACAATTCTAAACGTTTAAAATATGTTCGTAGATTGTAGATAGTTACTTTATGATAAAGCTTTGATACAAAAGTCTTTGAGTTAAATATTATTCGAATGAGAAACGAAATGTGTTTTTTTTTCGTTTATACAAGATGGTTTATCAGAGAGATAACGAATTTAAGATGTAACAAACTCTCTTGCAGCATCTCACTTTCACCTAATATAAAACAAACATTCGTGTCAACTATTGTATTACGATATATCATCCTTCTGCTATAGCAAATTTACACGATGTGACTTAAACAGACGATAAGACAAGCAAGTTTTATATTTATTTTCAGTTGAAGAAAGAAAAGAAGTGTAAAGGCCATTATCAAACACTGCACATTGTAGCTTCACATTTTCATAAAGATAACTTTTATTTCATCTACAAGTTTTTTGGATACCAGCCAATCAAATATTTATTCTTACTATGATATAAAAAGATAAGATGTATTCAAAATGATGACTACTTCAAGCCAAGAGTGTTGCTTATATAAATTATTGCATTTGGAGTATGACCTATGAATAGAAACCTAAAGTTTACATTGAAAATTTATGAAAATTATCTTAGGACAAAGTACAAAGAGTATAAATTTCAAGTTTCAGACAACGAAAAGAATGTGTTGAATAGAGAATGAAAAGAATAATTTGTAATGACTGGAAAAGTAATCATTCATGTTGCAACAGCAAAATCATAAAAATTAGATCAAACTTTTTGTTGCGTCATTGAGTTTATTTATAATTTCTACCTTCTGATGATAGGTATTCTTAGTTTTTTCTTATCTAATAATTACATGTCTTATGCTTACAAAGATATATTGAAACGTAGAGTCAGATAATAAATACTGTTTCAAATATGGAAGTATATCTTCAATGTTCATATAACTAGATTTTGTTAAGAATGGCATCGAGGATATATAAAACTCCTGACTGAAACTAATAGTGTGTCTTGTTTTCTTCGATTTGACTATCAATGGATTGTAGATTCGAAGCGATGTTTAAACGATATGTGTTAAGTGATGATATATTCCTCTATACATTTTATAGAAGCTATAAACTTCAATAGTTTATTAAAAATAAGAAATCTATCTTATACATTGTAATATAAATGTTCTAAAAATTTGCTTTCTATAAAATATTTGCTAATCATCTTATAAATCGTCTAATAAGTAATGTATTTTTCCTAGAGCATGCCAATCATTCATAAGCATTCATCAAGAGCAGTCGAAAATACAGATACTTTATTTAGAAAACTTTTTGCTACATTTTGAAAACTAGATCGAAAAAACCGAATATATTACATTTGCAAGAATGTAATTAATTTCTATAGGTTTTTAGCTTACCATAGGCGCTCATTTAAGAACGAAGTATATATTCTGATCTGGTCTAATACGCGTTTTAGTTCTTTTTTTAATGCAATGCATTATTTAATCATTTGGGCATGTTACTCCTAAAGAAGCATAAGACTAGCATGTAAAGAAACTAATTTAGCAACTTCTTATGCTTAAAATTTTCTCATGGCACGACTAATTGTCAACCGCCTTCTCTAAATACTAGACGTGTTTCGTCGGCACTACCTTATATCATTTGGCAATATCGATAATTAATAGTGAAATACCTAGAGAAACAAAAAACTGAAATCAATAGTCGATAAGAGTAAATTTTACAATACGTCTTAGCTGTGCTGAAAAACACTTCTCCATTACGAATTAGCTATCTTAAAACACCAAAAATGACGATCCTTACACTTGTGCCAAGCCACTCAGGGTAGATAGTAATGGATGAATTTATTCAAGAAAATTTTCTTGAGTGCTGAACAACGAATCAACTGGTATCCAATGAACACACGTGATGAAATCAAAATTCAACAAGAAAAAAGATTCATCGAATTTCTATACTCAAAAATCGGAGCATTTCTATTATTACATACTATGTTGCAAAAACATACACATGCAACTGTCTCAAAACGCAATTGCCAATGATCACTAGGACACCTTCAGTATTATGTTTTCGTTCAAAACTCGCTCCGATCGTCGTCGTCTTTCCATTCCAATTCTATTACCACCCAGCTTGAGTCTAGGAAGTGTCTGTATAAATCGAGCGAATTGAAAAGACGAAGTTAAATAGTAAGTGATGATTTACCATCTTTTTTGTGAGAACACAGGCGAGATATTATACTCCTAGGTCTTTAATTTCATTAAATTGAAGGTCAAGTGTGGTAAGTATCTGTGTATACTTTGTTTGAAAAGGTCTATGAAAAATGTTGACCCTAATCTTGCAAAGATGAGTTAAAACAAATAGTGAAGATATATATAGTTTGTCAGAGCAACACTTTATCAACATAAATGAAAGCTTATGTGAATAGGTATACTATGTTTTATCAAACTTCAGTTTGTTATTGCTTTTTCAATTAGAACAAACAGAAGTTGAAGCCACATTCTTTCTTTTAAAAACTGAAGAATCAGGAATGAGATGGTCAACAGTTTTCTATTAAATCTGCTATCATCCATGATTGAAAATATAAGACGATTAGTTGAACCATCGATACAGTCGTGTTAGTGGTTTCACTTCACCTCCCTCATGGCTGAACTTTACAAAATTTTTAAACAATCATTGTTAGTCACCATTGTCTATCAATACGTCAGCTTACACTGCTCTGTATGTTTCCAAATTTTGTAATTTATATTAATCTTCTTATTGTTGACATTAGTTCAAATACATAAATAATAGATAAATATGAATAAATGACCGCATTTTGTATTTTATTTTTGATACTGCGTAAAAATTATTGTTTTTGGTATATGACGAATTTCTTGTTTCTTATTTCATCATTTAATGAATCTTCGGTTTTTACCTTATTCCATTGACTACGTATCGTACTCGTTTAGCAATTTGAACCGATTTCATACCATCATTAATCATACCCATAACCACTTTTCGTAGGTCTTTAGATTTCATTTCTTGTTTTATTAAGTAACACACTTATTCAAATGCAATCTATTATTATAAACTTCATATGTTCCTCTAATCAATGAGATCACGGTGAGTGAAGACAATATAATCAACACACATAAGAATTGTTCTAAAATCGAACATCAATTACGACTTTTGACATCCCTCCTTAATCAAAGAAATAAGAAAAGGAATTTATCATCTGCCGAAAAATAACTTGTCGCAGCATTGAAATTTGGTCACACAGAATTTTGTCTATTTTGAAAACTAAAGATACATATATGAAATAATCTTTGTATTACAGATTGTTGAGCTTTTCACACCTATCATTAGATATTTACATTAAAATTTTGACATGAGTATTAAAGAAGAAAAATGCATAGCGTTGCCACATTGCAATGGGAAAAAAAATTGACAAAATAATTCTGCTGAAAAATTAATAACATTATATATATAAATAGAGCTCTATTAGACAAGTACGTAAGATATTCGAAGTTTTTTTTTCTTTATAAATATAAAAATCAAGTTACATATGACGGAAACATTTGTTTCGTGAAACAAATCACTTTTATATCTCGACTAAATCTCTTCTATGGCAGGGTTGCTAAATTGATATTTTTAAAATGAGAAGATCTCCGCCATAAACCAAAAGTTCATCGGAAGTTTTTTAAATTCGGGATACAAACTAGGAAATTTTTTCGAGAACTAGAATATATTCTATGGCGTTTTCTAGAGGAAAGCTTGCATTTTTGTTCACAGAAGCGCTCGTTACTTTTTTTTCTAATAGAGCAATCAGTGTAAATTTAATCTTATTCACAAACAATGCTAAAAAAAAGAAATATGATCAAACATATATGATGTTATTAATCTCTTCATATACACTCATGAAAATACACAAACGAAATAAATATATTTAAAAAGATAAGCTATTTACTGTGTAGTGCGTGGCATTTTCAGTAACATGGAAGTTGTTATCTGATCTGATGACTGAATTCGTTGAAACAAATCCAGCCTATATAAGAGAAATTGATAAAATTCTGTACGATTGAAATGAGTCTTTATCTTAATTTTTCATTTGGTTTCAGCTATTATTTCGCAAAAATTTCACGTGACTAAAGATAAATTCACAAAACATGTTTGAAACCGTTATAGTAAAAGCAAAATGAATCAAGTTTTATAAATGAGGTACATTTTCACCGTTAAGAAGGCAAGCCTACAGCTGGTTTCATCTAGTTAACAGATGTTTCTTCTATTCGTTATGAAACTTAACATCACACTATGATATTAGATCGTTTTCTTTGTTGGTTAAACTTGTCGCTAATAGTCGAGATGAGAAAAAAGGTCAGAAGAAACCAGTACAGAATCTTAGGTAACAGTTCCTGATACCATGTCATGAATGTCCTGGACAGATCAGGAAGTTTGGTAACCTTGCTAGAATTAATTTGCTACCCATGTCAAAATATAATGTGTTCCACTACATTTTGTATAAGTTTTATTAGGTTCATCATAGAAACCTGCGATTTTAACCGTTCGAGAGAGACGAACTAGGGCTATTGAAATGTATCGAAATTTGATTGGTTAGCAATGGATCAACTAAGTGAGTTCTCGGTATAGATTTTCGAAAACAATGTGTTGAACTTATTTCTCTTTCGATCTACACAAGGACGGAGTTTCTAGCTGATTCCATTCGAGAGTTATAAAACTTTTCCTGAGACTCCCAATTTCAAACAAATCACCTGTGACCACGAGAAAAAGCTGTTAGGCAGGAGTACTTCATCATGTTGAGTCGAGTGATGACATTTGTTTGTGAATTCGAACTGGTTTGACACTGTTATCTCAATATTTCTGCAATGTCGACCTTTGTTACTTGAATGCCGGTTCTAAAATTGTAGAAATATTGAAATAACAGTGTCAGATCATTTCGAACCTCAACACAAATATTACCATTCGACTCAGCATGGTGACTTAACCCTACCTAGCTGTTTCTCTCAGTCATCACAGATCAATTGACTGAAATCGAAGTTCTCACGGAAAACTTTATAATTTTTGAACAGAATAGTCCAGGAATGTCCGCCTTGCATAGATTGATGGGAAAACAGCTTCAGAATATTGTTTCAGAAAATTCCTACTAAAAGCTCACTTAATTGGTTAATTTTTGACTAATCGAGCCTCAGTAGACTTCGACCATCCTGAGTCTTCTTCCTTGAATATTGAAAACTGCAAGTCTCTATGATATTCCTATCACAGGTTATTCAAAAAAACAGAAAAGCACATGATATTTTAACATGAATAATAGCTTTTTACTTACTGCATATTGATGTATAGTCACATCACATACAAGTCTTTATTTCGTCATTCTGAGGTCAAGTGAATAGAGGCTTGATGAAAGTTACTTATTATTAAAAGTTTAAGAAAAATCAAGAATATGACAAACTTCAATTGTATTACAAAAGTCTTAAATATATCATTTGCCTTTGATAGAACGTTTTAAATTTGCTTTATTAATTAGGAAATTTATTGCTTTAGGCTATCTTATTTGACTTGTTGAATATGAATAAAAACTTGATATTCTCATTAACCATTAGAAAAGAAAATATCTCGTTAAATCTATGAAGAAGATAGATACTTTTGGTTCTGAATCAATTTTTTTTTCTGAGAGACATTTTATGACTTTTATCTTATATGAATAGTTGGAAAATTCTTATTGCTTCCTGATTCATATTTATATTGCATTCATATGATAGAACTTGATGTACCCAATTCAATTAGTTTATTACACTCATTTGAAACATTCTCACGTCTATTTTTGACAGATACAGACTGAAATAGATTCATGTTTGATCCGTACTCCACACCCATTTATATATTGTTCTTGCCATCAATAAGACTTCTATTAAATACCGTTGGTAAGCAAATTTCCTGAGGACAACTGTCGCGAAACCATCTGTTAGGGCAGCAACATTTATGCTATCTATGATAATATTCGTATTGCAAACACATACACAAGTCGCAACGGTTATACAGAAACAGAATGAAAAGATTCACAGTTTGCCATAGGCACGTTAGGTTTATATGAATCTTTAGTAAGAATATCAGAATCTTCTATCGACCTATTCCTCGGAAAGTAAATATTTTTTCAAGCAGCAAACAAATATTTTGAAATTAAAAGATACAAGTTTTTTTTTGATTATATTACTTTTATTTAAAACAAAATATACATAGAGTAATGATACAAATTAAATAAAAAAAAAACCAACAATATTACAAAACAATTTTCTTTTAAACACGTGAATAACACAAACAGAGAAACTATTTTTTTTTAAATATTTCTTGATTGTATTCCAAATCAATATATCTAAACTATAATGTCCGTATCAATCGCTTGTTTGAAACTAATATAAACGACTGAATTGATGTCATTACGGAACAAATTAGTTCAACGTACATTGACTCGTTCGAGGTCTTTAACAGCAGCAGCCGGCAAATCTTGATTAAGTTCTTTATAAAGTGTTTTTAACACTTGTAATTCTTTCATTAATAAATCGACTCGATCGTTTAATGCACGATTTTCCTTTGATAATTGTGTCATTTTAGTTTCACTTTCTTTTTGTTTTTCTTTTGCTTTCAATCGACTTTTTTTCACAGCTTCATTATTTTTTAATCGTCGATCATGATACTCGTCTGAGTATTTTATAACTTGTTTGTTACCAAATCGTGCTAATTTACGCACTGGACCACCGCTTTTTTTTAAACCACGTCGATTTATATCATCACGTTCATTATCGTCTGATGCAGATTCAATCGACGAAGCTCTTTCATCGTACGTTGTTGAAGAATTGCTTGCTGTCATTTCTAAATCTGGAAGATATTCATTGTTTTGTTCCATAGGCATATCAGTAAGGTCTTTGAATGTCATATCAGGTTCAGAAGAAAGTAATTGATCAAATGAATCAACAGGAAAATTTTCTAGCCAATTATCGTCTAATGTAGAAGATAGTTGAGTATTATTCAGGAGTTCTTCAATGAATAAAGTGTCTTCAACAGGTAATTCAAATGAAGGTTCAAAAGTTGTATGATTGGATGATGACGAAGGGAGATTATCAGAATTAGAATTAGTTGCAGTTGACTGGTTTGAATTGCGTACCTGAAGAGAACATAAGAGTTTTAATTCACACTTGATTTTCATGATGGCTGCATTAGTTGCTGCCGTTGTTAGCTTTTTATCATCTGCTTGCTGTCTATTATTCTCTTCTTTCTCAAACTCTTCTGTGGATTCACAATTAGTTATAATATAATCATGGTCAGTCTTACCGAATCGAAAAGTGTTAGTTCTGGCATTTGACAATTTGGGATATTCAACAGTTTCTCGTTGAATAGACTTGTTGGTATACTTAATGTGGGACATGTTGCCTGATTTGAATCGTTAATAGAAGATAAAGAAGCCGTTGTAGAATTTTTTTCGTATTCTTGTTTCTTAGACACAGAAAGTGTGGCTTCAAAAATACGATTTTGTGTGAAAATATGGACCTGCACTGTTTCTGATAAAATGGAAATATACAAATAACGACACTTTTGGTCGTCAAGCGAGAGCGTGTGTATTTTTTGATAAAAGGAGTCGTAATGTCGAATTTTTTTACCTTTTATATGCGCTCTTTTTCTCTCTCTCTTGTTTTTTCCCAGTTACTAACAAGTTTCGTAATTACATGCGATGTTATTGCACCATCTTTTTTTCCGTTGCTGACTCAATAATAAAGGCTCTTTTTTTTTTTTTTATCTAAATCAATATTTACCCTCAAGATGGCGTATAACAAAGGAATAACTCCCACAGCAAGCAGAAAAACTATACGAACGTTATTGTTAATAGTAAGACGGAAAAAAAGTAAAAGGAAATAAACTTACCGACAAATTTAAGTTATTGTTTATTGAATGTATTTCTGGTTGCTTTGTAAAGTAATAAGACGTATGAGATTTAATCTAGTTTGCGTTCCATTATTGTGAAATAAAAGATATGAATGTAGAAGAATTGAAAATAACTTTTACACTAGCATTGATGTCTTTAAACTAAAGGCAAAAAAGAAATTCTTAGGTATATATATATACTAATGCTATAGACGTAAAAAGAATTGCAAGAGAAAAGCTACGACGCAATAACGTCATTGCACAATAACATGACTCATGAAGAAAAAGGAAAGAAGTTTTTCTTTTTTCTTCTTCTTTCGCGAACATTATTTTTGCGATATAGACAGCGAAAAAAAAAGGGATATTTACACAAAAAAAATATTGAATCTATTTTATTTTTCTCTTTTTTTAACACAAAAAAAAATGTTTCGATTGGTTAAATGATTACAGAAAAGAGAAACACTGTCATTGTGAAATAACCCAGAGAACATTGTTGATGTAATTTCTTATGTAAACGTATCCAATATGAAAAAGAAAATATTGCTGATATCATAAAATAAAATTACAAAATAAAAAAAAAATTGTTCAATGTATAATCATTCAAAAATTGAACTATGGTGATTTCTATGAATATTTCACAATTTGATAGTACTTGCTACTAACTAAATTTCATTTGCACCAAATACTGATTACGTAAACCTTGACATTTATCGTTTATTTCACAATACTATTTTACATACATGTACATAGATGTTTTCATAGGTGTACATTTGTTTCTTCCCACAAAATGATCTTGAATCTGTCATCTTTAATTGTAAGCATCCTATACATCTTATGAAACTTAAATCAAAACGAGAGAATGTGTTGATCGATAAATAGTTCATCTTGTTTTTTTTTTTTGTTTTTCACTTAATCATTTTTCAATTCAATTTTATCAACAAGAAACGTATTTCATTTATTAAAAAAAACAGCAAAATGAATTTACCAATTGAATCAACAAAAAAAGAGATTTCATCTAATTCAATAACATCTCATTCAAAAACGAATAGTATTTCATCATCATCTGCAATAACACCTGATCGATTGGTACGTCAAACTGATAAACATATTTGGCGTGCTATAGATTTTTTACACATTTTTGTTATGCTTTTTTCATTTTACACATCTATTATTGTTGCCATCTTACGAAATGAACTATTTCAACAGTAAGCTCACATATTCAAGGTTTCATTATAAATCTCTTTGTGTATATATGTATATGTGCTTTTACATAATTAGATGTCCATTGTATGCTAAACTTTATCTTCGTGATAACGTAACACAATTTTCTACCGAAACAATCGCTCAACAAACTGTATGGGGTGATGTTTATACATGTGAATTTGCATCATTTGCTTATCTTTCAGCATTTGTTCTTTCATTTATTTCACTTTGGATTCATATCGTTTTTCGACGAGTTATTCGAACAGAACGTTTACTACGTTTACCAATTGGATTATGTACATTAATATTTGCTTTAATAACATTTATTGCAACAATAATTGTTACTGATGGTGTTATTAAGTTTTGTTCAAATAGTGCACAGTATATTTGTTCATCAACAGGTGCAGCAATATTTAGACAATCAAGATGGAAAATTCTCAGTTTACCTGTTGGTACGATTGAAATTCTTTTGTCTTTTTCTTTTTTTTTTTGGAAAGTTTATTAATGATATTGGAGAACGAAATTTTTATTTCAATATTGTAGGTGGATGGTTAACAACTTTATCGATACTATTAAATGTATTTGTTCGTGGAATTCAACTTTTTTCTAAACCAAAAAAATCACCTGAAACATTAAAATTACTTCTTAATCAATTAATGGCGCATCGACATCAACTTAAAAGTGACAAAGAGAATAGTGAATATGGATCTCAAACTTCACGACAATCAACAGATAAAGATCGTTCACAGGTAAATTAAAAAAATTTTGTTTTTCAAAAACAATTTATTAACAATTTCTTAGTCTTTACAACGATATACTCCAAAGAATCATACATATCATCGAGAATTTTCTCCTGAACTTTATCCATATTATTATCCTCCAATTCCTCCATATCGTCAAATAGAAAAACGTTCACGATTTCAACGTATATGTTGTCCATGTTTTCGTCGTCGTCATCGTTCTTATCATGAATCATACCGACCATTTACTGTTCCCGAAGAATATTTTCACCGTTTAAATTATCTTAAACAAAATGGTACAGTTCCAACAAATTTATGTTATCGTCATTCAATGTATTATCCTGTTGAACAACAAACACAAACAGATTTAATTCCACAACGAAAAAGTATTGATGAAACAAGTGAAACATCATTTTTAGGACGACGTCGAAGTTCAGTTCGATTTGAAGATGAAATACCATTAGTTAAAGTTCCTAATGAATTATCTCAATCACCAAAAATTGAATCTGTTTCCATTGATAATAATAATAATAGTAATAAAGAAAATCAAGAAACAGTAATTCCAGTATCTGAAAATCATCTTGACCGAAATGTATCATTTCGTAACAATGAAGATGATTTGTGGACAACTATAACAGTTAATACAGAACAATCCGTAATTATTCAATCAAGTCATTTCAATAGATTATCTTTAGAAAATTTATCTGTTGTTGACACATCTATGTCAAATAACGATAATGGCGTTACGGCTATCCATATTAACAGCACTCCTACTGAATCTCCATCATCTGAAATTGTCGAGCAAAACATTTTATCTCCATCTCAACCATCTTTCCAAGTAAAACAATGTCGATCAACAATAAAACGTTATAAACCACTTCTATCATCCCCTTCAAGATCTCATACAACATCAAGTGAAGATGATGTTGATTTACATAATATAAAACCTGTTGAAGAAATTCATGCTATTGTAACAGATAAATATAATTATAATAATTTATCACAAGCATTAAAATCTAATGTTGAACGTTTAAAAAATACTTTTATTCATGCTCAAGAAAATCAATCTCATTATGATAAACCAAAAAATATTCGTGCAACATTATCACAAAAATCTTATCAAAAGTCCAATATAACAAATCATTCGAGTGATTGTTAATTTGAAAAATATAATTTGTTTTCTTTGAAGTCTTATCAATCAAGAATAATTTAAATTGATCATCTAGATACTTGCTTATTTATATAGAGTTATGTGTGTTTTCAATAAATGGGTCTTATATTAATAATAACATGCTGTTTTATCAATGAACAGAACTCAAATGTCATATGTCATTATAGATTTGCATGTTTATGTATTTTGTTTCTTTCTCGTTGTCTTTTCTTCATGATGTCAACATGCACATCACTCATTATTATTAATGGTGACTTATACGTAAATATCTTCTGTTCTTCAATTATAAGAGTGTTCGGTTTTGTTCATAATCCTCTTTATTCTTAAAGACATTTTGATCACTTTAATATAGATGTGAAATGCGATTGTTGTTTTTTTTAATGGCGAAATATTTTTCTTAGTAATGTTGAGGAATCGAATGATTCAACTAGACTAAATAATGAGAATTTTTTTTGACGATTACTTTTTCCTATTAGCATTAAATAGACATCGATTTTGTTTGGTCTTTCTTTGTAATGCATTTTGTCATCGACTATTCGATTATCATCACCATACGACTGGTGGCACACATACAAAAGAAAAACTACTACTTACATGGATATAGCATTGACGATTGTGTGATGTCATCACGCTGTAGGACATATCAAAAAACAAAGAATAGAAGAAAATTCGGAAAAGCATTTTGTAGTTAGATTAAAATCAGTCTGTTATCTTTTATTGTTCAGAAATATGTATATGAAGACATTCAATGTAATAATGGTTTCTAATACAATAATTAACTGTTTAATGAGTACATACATATATCTATGATTACAAAAAATATTTTTGTATATATTGTTTTTTATTATATTGACAATATTTGTTGTTTTGGTAAATTTCCGATCATTAGTAGTGTGTAATCAAGTGAAACAAGAAGATCATAAGATTTGACAAAATCGTATGTTTCATTTTGTCAGATCAGAAGGAAAGTCGCTGTCTCAGAGCTCGTACACTAATTACTATTAGTAAGATTCTGTAGTGATCTTGTTTTCTTGTAATATATTACTATAAAATTTGCAGAAAATTTTGCGTGGCAGTAAGACTTTCAAAAAGTCTTACAGTATAATTTATCGGATCTTACGGTTAGTTTGTTTTACCTGAGTAAGTATGTTAATTGTACTGTTCAGATTTTGAAAATTACATGATCAACAACAATCATCCCGATTGATGATAAACAAAATACTAAAAAATGAAACTTACTCACATATGCTAAGCATCATGGGATATGCGCTTGAACACATCTATATCCTGAAAAATAAATGGTCTGATATCTTATTATTATTAGTTTTCGAAAAAGAATCTCCACAAGGATAATATTCATATTTTCTGAATATACATAAATGTTGTTCAATTGGTCTTTTGACACATTTTTTTTTACTAAATCTTCAACTGCTTTTATACTCCCTGAAGACTTTTCTGTGAAGTTACTAATCCACAAATGTCTCTTATGGCAGTTACTATCTATTTAACTTTATGGACTCTTTTAATCTAATTTTTTTTAAGTGCAAAAGGTATAGAAAGAATTTTTCATGTCTTGCACTTCAAATTTTGTTAACACTGATATGAATGAATTGTTAATTTGTACATTCGTATATTTAATTCATCAAAATAAAAATAAAAATGTTTCATCATTTCTTTGTTTTTGTTATTGTGCTGCCAGCATCTAACCAGTTATAACTTATTTATAATAACAGACAAACTTCTGAAGACTAGAAAATGTCTCAAACATCGTTTTCTATCTTCTGAACTGCCAGTTTTTTCTTATAATTCAAGGATTGCTTGTTAGTTTGCTCGTTCTTCTCTTCTCGTTTTTCCTTTTTTTCTCTAATGAATCACTTTCTGTGAGTGCCCGAATGTGCACTGATCTTGAGGCTTGCATTCCGCATCCTTTGTTCGTATTTTTCCGCTACGATAAGTCGTTATTGACACTGGATGATGAAGAGAGCGAGAGAAAATACGACACAGCCGTTTAGGGATTTTCCAGTATTCAGGACTTAGTATTCTTTTTCAGGAACAATGAATCCAACGTATCTTTTGTTAAAACTTTGACATAATAGAGCATAATAAAACTAGAAGAAATGTCTTTGACTATGCTTATCTCGTCTCATTTTATATAAAATGCAGATTTTTTTATGCATGCAATAGAAGGATACATATTATTATTCTATGCCGTACTCTATTGATATTCTGCATAACGAACGTTAACCAGGTGTTTTTATGTTTGTCTGCTCATTTATTTCTGTAAATAAAAAAAAAGTTGTTTTTTATACCCTTGATAATACATAAAACGGGGTTTTCATCAAAAAAACATTTTTTGTTAATTGTAAGAGAATGATAATCATAGAGAAACTGTCACAGAGAAAAGAAAATAGTTAACTAAATTACACGTTGTCGTGTCATACGATTTATTTCTTTTTTGTCTTAAATGTGTTTTGCAGTCAGTTTGAAGTAAAAAAAAAGAAAAAGACAATTAGAAGAAAAGTTTTCCTCTCGTCATTTTTTCTTTTCTTTCTTGTTTCTCCTAACAAGAGATCTATTGCGACATAGCTTGTTAGTCTTAGGTCAAGCGATACATTGTCTCCATCATCTTTATCCAAGCGGAAAAAATAGGAGCATACATGACTGCGTTCTTAATTAACTTTCATTGAATATAAAATACTTATATATATATTAGTTGTTTTATTTGCGTTTTAAAGGAAAATTTTATTTAGCAAGAATCTATGTATACCAATGAAGATTAATGCCTCTCAATTGTACAGCGGAACCAAATATAATCGATTCAAATACTGTTTCGATTAAATATATTGTTGGTGGATGGCTAACATTAATCTTCTGTATATTTGGTAAAATTAATACAAAAAAAAAATCATTTTTAAGGAAAAAAAATATATATTTGTATTTTAAGGTATTATTACCAATATTTTTACTGTTGTTGTTTTACTCCATCCACGTATGAGAAACAGTTCAACACATGTCTACTTAATGGCATTATCTGTATGCAATATTTTCCTATTAATTGGTCTTGTGATTAATTATTCAATTAAATCAATTGGTAAGTAGATCTTATTAATACTAGTATATCAAAGTGCTTTATATAATATATAAAAGTTCAATTGGTATATGTCATACTTCATTTAATTTAGCTTAATATTTTAAAAAGTGTTTGCATGACGTTAATTTAATCCATCTAATACATGTAAATAATGAAATATATCCGTTTTATTTATTATACAGTACCAATCAATATTATTAAGCATAAACTTAAACGAAGATAAAATTTCCATAAAAAAATATAATAAATACTTGAACGATTATTTCAAGAATCCTCAAATATTGATAATAAATGTCATATACTATAATAGCTTCTTATAAAAAACGTTTTTATGAGAATGCAAATACGTCATAGAATGTGAATACTTCAATAATGAAGAAGAATTATATTTGTCACCAATTATATCGGTCTATTGATCCTTTCTAGTTTCATTTATAATATTACAAGATTTTTTCATTTTGTAAGATTATACTCAGTTTGAGAAAGGAAAAAAGAAGAATATTTCATCAGTTCTATGATTTGTATACTGATAAAATCTTAACTAATAATTCAAATATGTTGTTCTATATTTTTGTTTAACTTATGATGTCTTCATAAAAAAATATTTTCTATAGAATAATATATATGCATACTATCCATTCTCGTTAAAAAAAAGCGTGTTATGTCCTCGACATATGCTGTTTTCTTTTCTTTTCACGTTGATGCAAACGATATAGTGTTAAATAATTAATGATCTCTATCAAAGAATTAAATTTACATCTGATTTTTATATGTGGCTAGAAAAAAAAATGACATCAAATTTTTTCACTTATTTATTATTCCATTAACTAAAAATGAAAGAAGAAAAAATATCATCAAAAATAAATCGTTGTACAAAACGAAACAAATATGAATTTTTTTTTTGACATGTATTAATTTGTTTTTTTTTTCCTTCTAGCTTCCTATCCAGAATTATTAGCTTATTTACGTCAACCAGATCTTAGCAATCGAAATGCTTTATTAGCTAATGGTTATGAACAATTTTATGCTCGTGCTGCACCATTTACAACACCATTACTTTCCATGCTTTTACTATGTAGTACTTATTTAACAGTACTTCTTAGTGGTGATCGATATTTTCTTATATGTTGGCCATTAATAGCTGAAAAAATTCGTACACGTAAAATTGCAGTACATTTAGTTTTACTTGTTATTATACTTGTTAATATTTATATATTACCACATTGGTTTGAATATCGTACAGCAACACGAATGATTAATAAACTCATATCAGAAGGAAATATAACAGTAAATACTGGTGAAAATACTACACTTGTAGAATTAACATATACACGTCTTGGTTCACATGCAGTATATTTATCAATCTATCGTTTCTATTTAAATGTTCCAATAACATTTGTTATTCCATTTACCTTATTAACTTTATGTAATGGTAGTATGATTCATCAATTATTATTAATAAAAAAGAAAAAAAAACGTTTAGGTCATCGTATGAAAGCAGATATACGTATAACAATAATGTTAATTATTATTGTTTTAACATTTATGTTATGTCGTTCAATAAATTTATTTGTTAATTTACTTGTTCAATTATCACCATGTTTAAATAAAAATTCTTTACAACGCTTTAATACATTTGCTAATTTATTCATTGCATTTAATGGTTTTGTTAATTTTTTTTTATTTGCTGCATTTGGTCAACGTTTTCGTGAAATGGTTTTATATATATTTTTTCGTCATGGACAATATCCATTTTGGACAAATATTGACGGAGTAAGCACACATCGTTGTGGTCATACGAATGTAACAGCACAAGTGGAACCTGTTCGAAGATCATCTAGATATTTATCAAACCCAGAAACAGTTCTTTGGGGATCTATATCACGTCGACGTTCAT